CCGACACCACCAATCGCTTGTCCCTTCAGATCGACTTTAATGCAATCTTCCCACCTTCGCTTCGGTCTACCCCTCGGACGCTTACCATTCGGCACAGCAAATATTAACCTTTTAGGAATTCTCTCGTTACTAAGCCCAACAACATTACAAGCCCATTTGATTCGCCGCGATGAAATTACCTCAATTATATTACCCGGATACAGCTCACGTAATTCGGCGTTGTGTAGCCGTCTGAACTCTCCGGTTAACTCATCCTGCTTCGGTCCGAATATTCTACGCAATACTTTATTTTCAAAAACCTTAAGACGCTGCTCATCCTTTAATGTAAGCGGCCAAGTTTCGCATCCATAAAGAACTGTAGTCAGGATAATTGTTTTATAGATTCTAATTTTTAAGTTCCGCAAGACAATATAATATAAAAGCATATTGAATGGTCAACGTACTCACTTATTGATGAATGATAATTGCATAGAGAACTTACCTGAAACAATAAATAAAATAATTATTTTCACAAGCTAAGGAGTCATTAAAAATATGAGATGTATAATCTGCAATAAAAACATAACAAGAAATACACTGATTATTGAAAAAAAAAATTAATGTGCATGTGATGTGGAAAACAAAATGAACTCATCAAAATAAAGATTACGCTCAACCGATAGCTTTTCACATTAATTAATTATTTAACTAAAAGCTGCCATTGGATGAATTTTTCATGGGTGGGAGAACACCAGGAGGGTTCGTCCTTAATCTGTACTAACGTGTTATATACAGTGTAAAAATTTAACACGGGAATGATATAGAGATTTCCAATAAGCATCGGATATAATTCTGTTATGAAATGCCATGTCCCAGAATAGGGAGGATATTCCGGAAATCCAGCCAAGGAGGAAGGAATGCAGGGCGGTGTAAGTTGGCGGTGTCATCTGGCGTATATAAAGAATTCCAGGGGGGGCTCCTCAGGAGACAATAACAAATTGTGCCAGGTCCCCCCCTCGAGGAATTTCATTTAGCTTCTTACCGTCTCATCTTTGCCTACCTTACTGTGACCCCTTTTATTTTAATACGTGTCTAGCAACCGTTCCACACAAATCCTTCCGATTTTAATAACTACATTGTGAGCTGGAACAATCTTTAGGTTCCGGACGTATATTTAAGAGAAGACATATTGTTTCAAAATGAAGGAAAATGGAGAAGGATAGTCAACATATTACAATAAAGCAACTGAATTATGATTTTTTTAGATGTGAATCTGACCACAAAAAAATAAGATAAATTTTATAAAATAGATATTAAAAACAGTGGTTATTATTTTTAGATATTTCATAACAAAATTCGAATCGGATACTCAAGATTTACAGATTAGCATGTCATGTCAAAGGGGACACCTCCTCAAGGTAATTCATAGAGGATCCATTAATTGTTGCACATCTCGACTGAGTGCTATGTTTTCAAAGCTCATCGAAATAAAATGGAATTGGGTATTAATATTAGGACATCCTAGAAAAAAAAAATAAAGATGACAAATTTTTTTTCTAGAAAAAAAATACTATATACTATGTTATTCTTTTGTACTTTGTAAATTTGTTTGTAACTTTTAGATATTTTAACTTTATTGTAATTTTCTCATTAAAAATTCTTAATAATTAAATCATTTTGTACTCTCAAAAATTGTAACTTCTAATTGTAAATTCTAAGTGCTATAATAAATATATAAAAAAATATTAAATATTTTTTAATACTTCATCTATCCCTAAATAAAGTCTTGAATTTTAATGTTAAAAAATTATATTATAAAAAGAACTATTGTGTTTGATAGAATAACATGTCAAAACTATGAAAAAAAAAAATGATTAGCAGAAATGGCAGTAAGACCAGACATATTTTTCCTTAATTTTTGTTAAGATGATAAAGTAAAAGTGAAACAGTTATTTTATTAATTGGAGAGAAATTGGTTCGAGTCAAAAGAAATAAATATCATTTATTTATTTTTATTTTTTTGACTAAACACCCCAACCAACTTCTCTTCAATTTTCACTACAACCAACCCAATCAATCCACCATTACTTAATTAATTTTTGTTCAGTTTTTTTTTTTTACATTTTAAACAAGATATAATAAAGTTTGTTAAAAGATAATTTCCTGCCACTAACTTAATTAGCTCTCAAATTTTCAAACTGAAAAGTTATAGGGGCTTCAGAGATTAACAGCGATAAAAAATCCAAGTAATTATTTTTAGGAAAAATACAACCGCAAAGCTTTGAAGTTTAGTATTTATGCAGGAAATAACATTATAGATATTTTTTGAAAATTAAATTTAAAAAATAAATTGTTGTGCTACTTGCATAACACAACTTTCACTTATTACCCTTATTATAGCAGAATTAGCTATTTTCAGAGAAAATAAAAATTATAGACAGTGGTTATCTTTATTTGTTTGTTGAGTATTAATATTTATACAGATGTTAATTTTCCTTTAACTTCATTTAAACTTCCTTAGTATCAGCTGTTTAACACAAAATCCCTCTAATAAAGAGTAAAGATACGTATAAAGATATGTAATCTCGTTTCTTCACTATGTTTATGGATGATTTGGAATGATGTAAGTAATATTTTTATCTATTAGTTATAGTCCGTGATACAGACCCCTTTTTATCGTATTATTAACTTCGCCTGAAACTTCATGTAATATTTTCATCTCATCGTAATACAATAATTTTATTTACGAAAACTCTTGGAATAAGGGTGTTCAAACTAGCAATCGGCAAACTTTGTCTGTTTAATTAGGTACTAAAAACTCGTGAATACACATTTGCTTTCCTGGGCACTAGGATATACACTAACATCTGGGCATGCATTTGGGGTTGTAGGTCACGACGAACGGCTCAACGTTTTTGAAGGCCACCATCTTTACCTTGTTTGTGCTCAAATCATCATACGATTTAGGAGGGAAGCAACTGGGCATTTACCAGTTTTTAGTACCTAATTCAAATCCTGTGTTTGCTCCAGCAATACTCGTTCCCGGTCTTCAGTTTATACACAAGGGCCTACCGAACCGCTGCTTTCGACAGATCGTTCATTATCCCATGTTCATCCCTATGGAACTCCATCCCTTCCCACATCCGTCAATCCAATACCATTCCTACTTTTAAAACCCGAATGTTCGATTATTTCTTATCCATCCAGCCCCATAAAATTGTAAAGAGATGTATTTAAATTATACGTCGTTCTTCATTATTTTTTATTATTAAATGATGAAAATTATAAAGTAACTTATACTTTTTGTATTATGGCTACATACTCTTTATTTTTGTTTATATATCTCTAAGGCTTCTTAGCCCACATTTCTGTCTTTCTGTATTATTCTACAGGGACTCGTTCCAGAATAAATAAAGTAAATAATAATAATAAGGCTTAGCGAACCCGAAGGTTCGATGCCGACACCACCAATCGCTTGTTACACACCTCCCTCCACCGTTCGCCGTCCAAACCCAGTTCCTTCAGATCAGCTTTAATGCAATCTTCCCACCTTCGCTTCGGTCTACCCCTCGGACGCTTACCACTCGGCACAGCAAATATTAACCTTTTAGGAATTCTCTCGTTACTAAGCCCAACAACTTTACAAGCCCATTTGATTCGCCGCGATGAAATTACCTCAATTATATTACCCGGATACAGCTCACGCAATTCGGCGTTGTGTAACCGTCTGAACTCTCCGGTTAACTCATCCTTCTTCGGTCCGAATATTCTACGCAATACTTTATTTTCAAAAACCTTAAGACGCTGCTCATCCCTTAATGTAAGCGGCCAAGTTTCGCATCCATAAAGAACTGTAGGCAAGATAATTGTTTTATAGATTCTAATTTTTAAGTTTCGGGACAAGAGGCGCGAACTAAGTAGTTTTGTCACAGAAAAATAACAAGCATTTCCCGCCTTCAGTCTAACCTTAATCTCTTCTTCAATTTCGTTTTTTCTAGTTATCGTAGAACCTAGATACCTAAATTTATCTACCTGTTCAAACATATTACCATCTATATCGATATCACCAGTAGTATCGCCATTTTTGCAGCTAACCATATATTTTGTTTTATCCACGTTTATTTCGAGTCCTAGTTCTTTACCGGCTTTCATTAACGTTGTCGTATTTAGTTTTATAGTTTCAACGTCTTCGCTTAACAGTACCAGATCATCAGCATAGCCCAGCACGGATGTTGTCCCGCCCAGATCCAACCCTTTCTCGGTTCGCATTACCTCCCTAATGGCATGTTCTAATGCCAAATTGAACAGGACAGGCGAAAGAGAATCCCCCTGTTTTAAGCCCGAACGAACCTCAAATTTTTCGGACAAATTATTACCGATTCTAACTTTATTAAGTGTCTCCGTCAAAGAATAAATAAAGTATTATTATTAATTAAATAGACAAAGTTTGCCTCCCTTCAGATTGAAAACGCCCTAACTCTGAGAATTTTCATAAATGAAATAGTTGTAGGTAACGATGATATGAAGCTATTCACGAAGTTTCAGGCGGATGATAACAATTTAATGATAATAATTGTACCAAGGATTACTATTTTTGTCTATTGTTATTTATTACGTGCTTATGATGCCTCAATTTTGGAAATATTGATGGATAGACTGTTCACCTATATGTTAGAGACTATAGTATATTTTTGAAATTTAAAAAATGTGTAAAATCTAGTAAAGGATACTATATAACAATACCGACAAGACAACAGTCAATATCTTTCTAGCAATTTACTTGTATGTTCTACGAAGACAAAATCATTTCAATCCCAGTTGTAGTTAAGTGTCAATTATACATAGAGCCCTTAGGTCACAAGGCTGCAGTCCGTAATATATTATAATTTATACGCCTATCAATTAACATCGCCTATAAGTGCGCACTGTCATTTAATTGACAAGCCACCCGCTTATTTTTTTCCGAACGACAGAACAGACTCAATTATTTTTTAGACTAGTCCTCTAAGGACAGAGCCTCGATGACACAGGCTGACTCACAAAGAGATGCGAGATGTAATGAGATGGTCGCGCGACCAGAAGGCTGCAGCGGATTATCGCTTCACGTCACATAAATCACCTGCCAGGCATCGCCACGAGATGCTATATCATAGCTCAATAGTGTAGCCAGAACTGTCTGGTATTCTATTGTAGCCGCTATGCTGAGCTGCTGTTGTAGCAAGCTGTTACTGAGCGATAGATCAAGTACTAAGCACAGGCTGTATGATCGATGGCAAAATGACGATCATTATCAAATATACAGTAATAATATATTACTGTACCTGTGCCAATAACCCGCTTAGTATACACAGTGGCTCACAGTGAAAATAAAAAAAAATTACTGTGTCCACTCACATTACATTCCTACCTATTTCAGAAAAGTTTTTATTTCATTAAAACTATCATAATATAAAATATCATTATCATATCCATTTAGAAAAAAAGTGAATTAGATTTAATTTCTTGAAAATTGATCAAAGAAAAGATTTGAGTAAGATTTATTTTATAAACTTTTTTTAAATTTCTTTATTGAGTATTATAACAATCTGTATGTTGGACATTGGTTATAGTGAGGTAGGATGACATTCACACCATATGTACAAAAAAATAAAATAAATAGAACAAAATAATAATCAAAAGTATATACAATAGACAATAAAATAAAATAACCTAAAAAATAAGAAAATTAAAACTAAGAAAAAAAACAAAAACACATGCATACCTATATACAATCAGGCGAGGGAACTCCAGGAGAACCCTGCGCTACTCTCCCAAACTTTTTTTCAAAATACAGAGTTAAAATCTATTAAAGATAAATTTGGTATGAAATGAATTTTAATTTGGAATTTCATTATATAAAAGAAAAATTATTTTCTCGTTGGATCTCAAAATGGTCGATGAAAGCGAAAAAATTCTGATAGAAATGATTGATGGAATTATTTTTCTCAATGAAGATAAGATGTCGGTTTAATTCTCACGACGAATTTCTTCTTTGTTAAATATTCATCAATCATATTACTCTCAATAATATCATTTTCCAATATCAAATACAAATATCTGGTGTGTCCACTCATACGACTTTCCTACCTATTTCAGAAAAATTTTTATATCTTTACATATGTTCATGAAGAAACAAAACAGAATTGAACTAAATTTATTATCCTGAAAATCGATCAAACAAAAGATTTGAGTACGATTTATTTTATAAACTAAAGCAATGTAAACCAGCATGTGGTAGATCAGTGTAAAAAATTCAATATCCTGTAATATTGCTAATCGAAAACTTTTTGCCTTAGCTTAGTATTGTCAAACAATAATTTCTGTTAAAAGTAGCGGAAATAGTGATGCTTGCATGGTCTTACATTGGAAATTGAATAGCTATTATAACTTCGTTAATAGTTGTCCGAAATGAACGATTTTTATATGGCTTTGTAGGGAATTTCGTTAGCTTTATATAGGCTATTAGACACCATACTTTTCTTTAGGGGGCTTTGAAACTTATAGATCCGTCTAAAACCAAATATCGGAAATTTGACCCGATTACAATATTTTCCTTACCTAGTATGCGTATGAAAATAATAAATTAAAACATAAAGAAAATAGATTACGCTGTATCATAGCTAATACTGGTTCGATTCCAATGATTTTTTGTTGGTACCTTTCAAAATTATATTATAAATTTTACCACAGAATATATACTTAGCGGGTTAGATCCCAAAACATTTTTATTTTCTTTATAACATTTTGCTAAATTATCTCGGGAATTTAGTTCATGTACGAAAATTGAAAGAAGAATTAATAGAACATAGTTAAGTTTCATTAAAATCGTTAGAGTCGTTTTGCACTACAGTCTATAAAAAAATATGCGCAGGGAGCAACCATTTTGTGCCACAAGCAACATTGTGTCAAAACCTAACAAATTGAAAAAAAAAAAGCTACAAAAACGGTTCTCTAGTTCCCGAGAAAATCATAGCACAGACAGACAGACAGACAGATAGACGGACAGACCAATGGTTTAAAATGTGTTTTTCGGACTCGGGGAGCTCTGAAACGTATAGATAACCGCATATCGGAAATTTGACCCGATCGCAATACTTTCCTTAACTAGTATAGGTAGGAAAATAAAAAATACTGAAATGGTTACAGTAAATAAATAAAACCACAAACCCTTCAAAAGATTTATTTATAATGGCAATTTAAATATGTAAAAATTCAATAAAATTAAAATATTCAACTGTGATTATTTTAAAAAATGGTAGATCTCACTTCTTATTACAGTTTAATAAAATACCACAATACACTAAAAAGCTAAACTGCTCTACACGTTGAAATGCCTTTCCTTCAATATCAACAACACTAAAATTGTGGCCATTTTAAAATAAGGTAAAGATAAATAATATAATAAGTGTTCCTGTCGTATGTGTTATTTTATTTCAAAAAGAAAATAACACGATAGGAAGACCAGGAATAGAATATAGTGTCCTGAGGGATGAAGTGTTAGGGATGGTTCGTTAGATTCTGCGGTGGGAATTACAACTTGCAAGGCTCAGGGATTCTGGTCACCCCTGTCTTATTTGGGGGGGGGGGAGAGGTACAAGTTTTGCTGGAAAACAATAGACATACCACCAGACAATTTAGAAATATGTTTGCAAGTGTTGGAAGATTAATAGCCGACAGAGAATTAATAGTAATTGTGTTATAAAAACAATATCTAAAAAATAAATCTTTATCACGAAAGAAAAATAAAGAAAAGTGTTAAATTTTTAATAAAAACTTTTCAGAACATTAAAGATTTCTCTTAATTATATGCATGATTATGATAAAAAATTCTAATACAGTCAAGCAGTCAATGGCAGAAAGGAAAAACTGCATTAAAAACAACGTCTAATGTATCTAAAAATATTGAAAATTCCTTTAATTATTTAAATATAATTAAATGTTAGGTTATAATTGGAAAATGCAAACCAATCAGCTTTGTCTCTAAAATACAGATAAATAATAAAATAACACATAAAATATGGAAATTCAGGCAGCTTAAGAATAGAAAATAAAACAAGGACAAGATCACCTCACTTCATGACATCCTACTGCATGTTGGACTTTCAATATACTATCCAATTTGTTTTATATATTCTTAAAATTATAAAATACTTATTTTTCAGCATTAGCGAGAACAGTCGAACATGTTTCCAATATATGTTGACCTAATATCACCAAAAAAAAAAAGTCCCAAGTTATTAATCCTTCCTTGTCAATACCTAAATCTCCCTTAAAAAAAAAAATCGTCTGTAAAACAATTTAGGAGAGGTATTTACGAGCAATAGTAACTTATATTTTCTCTTTCACCTGTCTCTGTCTTGAAAGTTGCAATTAGAACACATTTTGTTGCCTTTGATAAGCTAAAATATGTAATTTTTGTCTTCTGATTATTTCTATTATACTTTCAAATTTCTTGAAATGGGCCATAACTTATGGTAATTACTTGTGCATGATAAGAACAGTCTTCATATTTTGAACCGGCCCATTAAAAAGATTTGAAAATAAATTGAAGACTTAATAATTGATTAACATTGAGATAAGTGAAAAACTTCAGAGAATTAAGGATTGTTGTATATATTTGCTAACTATAGTTTTTCAGTTTTGTGTATAGTTAGTCTCCTTAATGTTTTATTTTATTTTTCTCTAATCTTTTCTCAACAAATCCTTTTTCTCCAGCTATTAATACAATTAAATTTTATAGAAAATGTTTAATAACAGAACCAAATGATCTTATATATACTAATTAAAATGATTGAAGGTTTAGTTATAACTTAGGGTAAGGTTTGAAAAATACATTTCAGATACAAAAACCAATCAGTAGAATACTTAAAAATGGTACTTTAACTAGGAATCGCGGCGAATCAAATGGGCTTGTAAAGTTGCTGGGCTTAGTAGCGAGAGAATTCCTAAAAGGTTAATATTTGCTGTGCCGAATGGTAAGTGTCCGAGGCGTAGACCGAAGCGAAGGTGGGAAGATTGCATTAAAGCCGATCTAAATGGACTGGGTTTGGACGGTGAACGGTGGCGGGAGGTGTGTAATAAGCTATTGGTGGTGTCGGCATCGAACCTTCGGGTTCGCTAAGCCTTTTATTATTATTATTGTTGCTGTAAATAATGATATTTTAGGCATGAGAAAGGATCTTACCCAACAGTACCTATATTTGTTTATTTTCTTAAATAAAGAAAGGAGATCCCTCATCCAGCTCCTTTTCAGCCATCTTCTGCTGAACATGTCAACAAGCTGTGTGTCATGGCCATGTCGTTTTAGGCTATTTAGGCTATTGTATCCCACTAGATTATTATGAAATCATCAGTAAAGAATAGGTCAAAAATTGGCAATCGTTAGTCGGTGTGTAAGGTTTTGTTGTTTACGTACCTGAGCAGCCGCGTTTATTAAAGTCTGTGGTACAGACCCCTTTTTTATTAAATTATTAACATCCGAATCAAACGTGAATGGCTTCATCTCGTCGCTACTAAAAACTCGTATCTACCAGTTTGCTTTCTATGTGAATCGTGAGATAATTTGAGCACGAACTTAAGAAAATATGTGGTGTTAAAAAATATTGATCCGTTTGGCGAGACCTACACCCCCCAAAACAAATTCAAAATAACGAGGTTGAATAAGCCAATATTTTTGAAGACTACTTTTATTTTCTAGTTTGTGCTTAAATTATCTTACGACCCAAGTGAAAAACAATTTTTAATACCTAATTTTTTTTTTTTTAACTTAATGAAATTTACAACTGTATTACATGAAAAATACAATAAGTAAATGTGACATTGGTAACATGACATGTACAGCATGAAGAGAAACTACCCATTGGTAGAACTCAAATTAAAGTTCTATATTAGAAGGTCCCGAGGCCATCTTCTCTTCAGAGGCCTCGGAGGGTTATCAGGGATCGAGGAGGAAGCAAGGTTTGAAACGAGAGGATTCGGATGGTTCTGCAGTTTGTTATGGAAGGATAGGTATCTGGGGATTGGGCCAAATCGGAAACATATGGAACATTAAGTTCTTTATGGATGATTTTATTTGTGACAAAGTAGGGAGCTTTGAGGATTTTGGATTGTAAGGATTGGATGCGAGACGTATTCGATGGCTTAGTGGAGCCCCATAGCTCAATTCCGCAAGTCCAAATAGGTCTTATTTTTGTCATATATATGAGTCGTTAGTAATTGATTGAAAGCTTAGAGCGTTTGTCTAGTCAGCGCTGAAGGTATCAGAAACTGAGCGGTTTCTTGTCGTTTCAGTCTGGTATAGAATTTTTAAAAAGAGAATTTAGCGTAATTTAGGAGCACAATGGTCCTCTTCAATTGGTTTCAACAATAGAAAAACCGTCAGTTGAATTAATTTTTTTTTTAGTTGATTGAGGAGGAATTGTATATTTTACCTAAATTAAATATTTTCTTAGTAATCGCATCCTATTCACAAAAAATGCTTACTTAAAAAAAATGGTTCTGCAGTTTGTTATGGAAGGATAGGTATCTGGGGATTGGGCCAAATCGGAAACATATGGAACATTAAGTTCTTTATGGATGATTTTATTTGTGACAAAGTAAGGAGCGTTGAGGATTTTACGAAGGATTTTGGATTGTAAGGATTGGATACGAGAGGAATTTGAAGGTTTGTTGGCGCCCCATAGCTCAACTCCGTAAGTCCAAATAGGCCTTATTATAGTCATGTAAATGAGTCTTTTATAATTGATTGGAAGGTTAGAGCGTTTGTCTAGTAAGTGCTGAAGTAGTCGAAAACGTCGGACGGTTTCTAGTCGTTTCAGTCTGGTATGGGGTTCCCAGTACCTAATTAAATAGATAAAGTTTGCCTATCTCTAGATTGAAAACTCCCTAATTCCAAGAGTTTTAGTAAATAAAATAATTGTCGGTTACAATGAGTTAGAGCTAATCACGAAGTTTGAAATGAATGTTAATAATTTGATCAAAAAAAAGGGTCTGTTTCACGGACTATAACTAATAAATAAAAAAATAACCGGAAAAATAATTAATATTTATATTTGTTTATTTAGAAATATTACATTCTGTCACATCAAGGACATTTATAATAGTGTTCAGAGAAAGCACACTCACACTCTATTTACAATAAAAAAAAAAAATAATACAGAATTGACAGAATAAATTTTTTTTTTATAAGTACGCCTTTTTTGGTGAATCTTAAGAATAATTTTAATTTTTAAAAATACAAATCGTAAACAAGTTACTGAAAAGAAACACCCCGATAGGAGATCCCGAAGCCGCTCTCGATTTCATTAACAAATTCTAGAGAGCCGCCGAAGTCGATTAGCTCGTCCCCACTGCCATTACTTTAATTGGGCCTCCATTGACAGCCGCTTTTCCCTTTGATTTTGTTTGATCTGCTCCCGCGGCCGAACTAAAACAAAACAAATATATTCAAGGGCTCTTTGATCCTCTCTCCGGGCAGCCCCGATCTGAAACATTGAATTAAATTATTCACTATAGTGCTTTGTAAATAAGCATTTCCCGGCTCAATTAACATTTATAAAACAAAAATTATTAAGGTAACCGTTCCTTGTTTAGTATAGTGTTAATTCAACCAAGAGAATAGAAAATCATTTTTTTTATTATTTATTATGATATCTAAAACTGTATAAAAAAATACATCTAGTAAATTCGAACAATGGGATATAATGATATGAAACACGAGTTGAGAAACTACCAAATGGTAGCACTCTAATAATATGTCTACATTAGCAGATCATGGCACGAATCCAGGATTTAATTTTTTTTGGAGGGGGGGGATGCTTCAGCCTCAAAGATTTTTTTTTCATATATATATAACGATAACTAATTTGAAAAAAAGAAGAAGAAATAGATGAACTACCAACATGAAATGGCGTTTAAATGATTCTTGAAGTCCTATTAAATGTAATTAATTACACGAACAATAATACTTTAAGAGATAGCTTTTAATATTTTTTTCTATAAAACAAGGTTATATTTTACCGCTTTGGGGGGACTTCAGTCCGAAGGCCCTCTTCCGTAAATCCGCCTGTGGATCACGGTGCATTCTTCTTTTCAGATACCTCGGAGGGTTATGAAAAATTTAAGAGAGAACAAGGTTAGGAACAAGAGGGTTTGGATAGTTATGAAGTTTACTTGGAAGGACAGATATCTGGATTGGGCCAAATCTGATACAAAAGAAACATTAAGGTCATTATGGATGATCTTATTTGTAACAAAGTAAGGAACATTGAGGATTTTACGAAGGATTTTGGATTGTAATAATTGGATCCGAGAAGAATTTGATGGTTTAGTGGAGCCCTCATAGCTCAACTCCGTAAGTCCGAATAGGCCTAATTATAGTCAAGTATATGAGTCTTTTGTAATTAATTAGAAGTTTAGAGCGTTTGTCTAGTAAGTGCTGAAGTATTTGGAAACGTCGAGCGGTTTCTTGTCGTTTCAGTCTGGTATGAGGATTCCAAGTTAGACGTTTGTCCAGTTGTAGTCCTAGGTAACGGATTTGTTAAACAGTAATAAGTAAGGTATTGTTAAAGGACACTGAAGGACAGGGAGTCATTGGTTTACGACGAAGTGTAAAGGTAATTTGTTGGGATTTATTTTAAACCTCCAATTTTGAATCCATTGTTCAAGATTTGTAACTTTCAACACCATCTAAGTATCGAGAAAACCGATGAGTGTTCTATTCCGGACCCCACCTACAGCTTTAGGTCCTGATAAGACATTTCTTATCCAGAACTGAAGTTTCCTGCAAGTCAGCATGAGTCCACCCAAACTGGACGAGATAGGAGGGCTTACAGGATCAAACGGGGAACAATCGAATTCAGGGGAGGTAAAGGAATATAAGAGGCAATTTCCACAAGTCACAACCGTCTGAAAAATCAAAAACATTACTTATTCCATTTCGAAAGATATCACAATCATTAAGAAATAAGAATTTTTTTATTTATTTTTTTGTAGTTTTTTTTTTCATGCACAAATTCGTATTCGTTAACAAATCTCAACTTATTTAATATTGATTTAAAGCTTATAAAACATGTTTTTTTTTTTCTAAAAGTGGACTATGTTTAGTCAAGTTGTAGGGTAATAAAAAAAATATCTATGATTTAATGAACACTAGTTTAGCCGTTTGAATGGTTTCAACAAATACAAACCCTAATGAATTTAAAGGGAATTTTGTATAATTTACTGTGAAGCAATTTTTAACTACCTAACTTAAAATTTTGTTAGTTATTGCTTTTTATTTAAAAAACAAATATGACTTAATTAAAAAAATACAAAACTTTAATACAAAACGAAATTGAGGAGGAGAAGTTAAGGTTGAAGGCGGGAAATGCTTGTTATTTTTTTAGTCCAAATTACTTAGTTCTCGTCTCCTAAATATAAAAATTTACAAAACCATTATCCTTCCTATGGTTCTTAATGGATGCAAAAAGTGGCCGCTTACATTAAGAGATGAGCAAAGTCTTAAGGTTTTTGACAATAAAACATTGCGCAGAATATTCGGACCAAAAAAAAGACAAGTAAACCAAAGAATTTAGGTTAATCGATGCTGAATTCGATGAATTATATTCAGTTAATATAATTGAGATGATTAAGTTGAGGCGAATAAAATGGGCATGTAAAATCGCAGGACTTAGCAACAAAATAATTTCTAAAAAGTGTATATGGGATGTACCGAATGGCAAACGTCCGAGGGGTAGACTAAAGCGAAGGTGGGAAGACTGTTCAAGATTTATATGGCGGTGTTGGGTTTATACGGAGTCCGCTGGATGGAAGAATGTGGAAATCGATCGGTGGTATCGGCATCGAATCTTCGGGTTCCTTAAGCCTTATTATCATTACTTAAAAAACATTACGTAGCTTAGTTAATCCATTCAAAAGTCTTCTTTTAATAGTTTCAAAAGTGACAAACCCTACTTTAATTTGAAGTAAATTTTGTCTAGTTTACTATAATTGAATAAATAATTGTTACTAAAATTAAATGTTTTTTTTTTTAATTTACGCATCCTGTTCACCAAAATAATTTCACAAAAAACCACAAATCATGAATTTTCTACTTTTCTGAGGAAAATCGGAACATTGTTTATACAAACTGTTTTTGTAGATATTGATGTATGTTACCACCTCTTCAAATATTTTATCAACGTTTGAAATTTGATTATATTACAAATCATTTGATCCTTTATTTATAATAGAACAGTTTTAGTCGATGACGTCATAGATTAAATGAATATTTAATCACCGAGAAGATGATATGACGTCATGGACTCGATGAAGACCCAATCACCGGGAATATAATTAGTACTAAACCGAGAGGTAGACGTTGATGGGAGGACGGCATTAAGACTGATCTGGCAGATTTGGGGATACGCGGCCGACGGAGAGCGATATGTAGCTTATAATGCCGGGACCGTACCCGCACGAACGCGGAGGATTATCGTCGTACATACTGATCCGGCACAGAGCCAGGTAGCTAATGAACAGGTGAAGTGTGGGCTGGTAATTGGGGAAGCCATATTGTTAGCCTGCCTTGAGGAGCTGCGTCATCTTACAGTGGCGTTTTAATTCTGTCTCTCTGCCACTAGAGGGCACTTCATGCACCCTACCGTTTGTTCTTTTTTTTTTCCCCATCTCTTCTTCACCACTTGCTAAATAATGCCTCACGTCTTAGAGCTGTGTATTTCTTACAGGCACAAGAATATCTCTGAATGTTGTTATTCAAAGTAAAATTAAGATTTAAACCAAAATTAAAGTAAATATCGACCAAAAACTGCAAAGTGATCTATCAAGGCTAATAAAAAAAATCAAAAGAAAAATGTCTACGACGTATTTGATCGTATTTTTCCCTAATACAATAAACTTTGAATATTTCATCGGAGAAGATTCTTAAACCCTAGAACATAATTATGAGGGTTCCAGAAATGCCTAGAATATATACTATATATAATAATAAATAAATTTATCAAGCCCATAAATAAATATAATTAAAGCATTATTGAAAACAGTGATAACAATGAGGTTTATAATTAATTATATGTATTGGCGCTGGATGAGGGATCTCCTTCCTTAAACAACCTAAGTAATTGGAACAAGTTAGGGAAGAGGTACTGCTGAGTACTTTCCTTCCCCATGCCTGTCATGTCATTATATCATGTATCGCCATCACATTTGCTGATCGTCAACAATAAGTTGACAGGCGCAAATATATTTTTGATAGACAAAAAAAAAGAATATGTATTGAACATAACAAAATAGGATAAAATTATCATGAGATTTTTGCTATCTGTAAAATACAACATATATTTTTTTAATTGACATGATTTTATTATACTTTATTAAATAATTAGATTTAAAGAGTGGTCCAAACTACTTTAATAAAAAATAGTACGACTTATAATTAAAGCGCCTTGGTATGTGACAAAAAAAACCTTACATGTCGACTTCCTCTTGCCTACAGTTGACCAACACATAAGAACTATTTACAAACGATTTCACAAAATTTACACGAACATACTAACAAAATAATCAGAGATATGGCTTCAGCTGACATACCCATCAATACGAGGAGGAAACTAAAAAAGGCGCTGAATGAGAGACCTCCATCCTTGACAAGCAATGGTAATTGATTCAAGAGGTACTGCTGGGTGTTATCCTTCTCCATGCCTTGTATGTCAGTTTTAGACAGGTATAGATTAATATTCAAAGAAAAAAAAAATATTATAAACATTATTTAGTCCACAAATTTATTGATTAATCCCATATAATAATAAATCGGCCTGTAAAATTGTTGGGCTTAGTAACGAAAGAATACCTAAAAAGTTAATACCTGCTGTACCGAATGGTAAACGTCCGAGGGGTAGACCGAAGCGAAGGAGGGAGGTTTGTAATAAGCGATTGGTAGTGTCGGCATCGAACCTTCGGGTTCGCTGAGCCTTTTATTATTATTACCATTTCTTTGTTTCACACATTACATGGCTGTTTGTAACAGTTGGGACCGAATCGGTCAACCAAATATTACATTCATAGATTTTCAAAATTACTTTATATCTGTAAATTTTCGAGCTATATTTGCTGTTCCCAACTCACGCATAGAAGATCGAGAGATTCTTCTGGTATTAATCCATTATATGAAATTCCTAATGGTAAAATCCGGATTTCCTTTAAATCATACAGTTGTTTTAATTCTTCTGCCAATTCTACACATTTTCTTTCTTTTTTTTCCGCAAATACCTTGTGCAGATTATCATCTGAAGGAACTCTACAATAAATAGACGCTATTTTGTTATCTTTATCGATTATTAGAAAGTCAGGCCTATTCTGTGGGACAGTGTGATCTGTAAGTTTAGGGTGATCCGAGAATAGTTTGACATTTTGCTTGTAGATGATTGATTCAGGATGATATTTGTAATACGGACAATAGTTATCCCTCAGTTATTATTATTATACATTACTTATATTTTATTACCATCATTCCGCTCCTGTTACAGCAATCGTTTTCACTTTGGCCTAGTCTTAACACACCGGCCCAGGTCTCTGTAGGCCTTTCCCTTCTTCTTGTTCCTTGAGGATTCCATCGCAAAGCTTATTCCTCAATGGCACTATTCTCAAAGTGTGTCCTATCTATTAACATTTCCCAATGATAATAATAATAATAATAGATAAATCTTTGTCTGTTAGCTGGCTGGTAGGAAGAAGTCTGTTCCCCGAGACTGAAGGTTTTTTAACTGCAATCCAGGACCAGGTTATAGCTACCAGATCCTACTGGCGACACGTCTTGAAGCAACAGAATGTATCGGACAAATGTAGGCTCTGTGCAAGCACATATGAGTCCATTCAACACATAACTGGAGGCTGCGGAGCTCTTGCAGGTACAGAATATCTAAAAAGACATGAAGATGTTGCCAAAGTCTATCACCAGGCGATTGATCTAAAAATTAAATTAATAAACGACTATGCCCTAGTATAAATATTGCCCTAAAAGTATTTGCCAGAAAGATGGCTTAAAATTATATTGGAATCAATCGTTTATAACAGACCATCTTGTGATCCACAAGAGACCTGATATTGTGTTAATTGACGGCAACATTAAGGTGGCTGAAATTATAGATATTGCTGTGCCAAATGACGGAAACATTAACTCAGTCTGTGCAGAAAAAATTCGGAAATATCAAGGTCTAGCAGCTGAGTTAAAAAGTTTGTATAAACTTTATAAAGTAACCGTTAGGGGCATTGTGATCTCCAGCAATGGCCTGATACCGGTGTCTACTGTGGAAGCCACTGACAGGCTGGGCCTCCCAACTCATGTAATAAAGGAAGCTCAGAAAGCGGTGCTGCTGAATACTGCCAGAATTGTAAGACGTTTTCTCAACATTCAATAGAAATTAAAATTGAACATACCTGAGGTGGTTGGAGTCGATTCTCCTCCTCTCAAGTAAACAAAAAAAAACCTTTTGTAAAAGTGTTGACAAATAAAATAATAATAATAATATATATATATATATATATATATATATATATATATATATATATATATAATATATATATATATATATATATATATATATATATATATATTATAAAGTCTTGATGAAACATAAAGTTCGATGCCGATACCACAAATAGTTGTCTACATACTTCCATCCACCTGTCGTTGTCCAAACCCAACTCCATATTACCCTTAACACAATCTTCCCAGCCTTGCTTCAGTCCGTCATAGCGACATAGCACTTGTTAACCTTATATAGATTATTTCACTATTAAGTCTAACAATATTACACGGCGCACTGTAATAACCCCAATCAGCATTCAACACCTTCAATATAGTCTCAAGGCTTGTAATTCAGAACTCTATAGTAATACTGCGTCATTATGCACCAATCAGAGACGTAAATAACGCCGTGGGCGTGGAAACTACCGCCATCTTGAAGATTAATATTCACAAACAATGTCACTGCGAATTTTTCATTATTTTTTTTTTAAATTTCTTCACACCGCTCAGCGGTAAAAGAGAAAACGATTAAAGAAAAAAATATGTCAGTATTTGATTATGATAAGGTTTTAACAAAATTATTTTAATTAATTTTCGGAAATAGAAGCATTTCGAGATGACATCTTCGATCGAGAGTAAATTTAATCAAGCCTTCATATTCATGCAACTAGACTTTAATAGAATTGACGGTGAGTCACAGATTAAATATTTGCTTTGGCGTCATTCAACTGTAGATGAATTTTCGTTGAACAAACTCATTAAAAATTTAATAAAAACGATATTTTCTTTACCATTTAATAAAAACATTTCTGTAAATAAAACTGGCGGTAATTAAAAAATAAAAATTTTGATTTAATGCTTTTTCTGTCTCTGATTGGAGCATCATATTCATTTCAGATATTAATGGTAAACTTTCTAAAAAGTTTAACATTTTTAACTTTGTTTTTAATCAAACAATCATTTTTCACAAAATATGATATAGGTTGTCCCTAATAATATCTTGTTATTTTTATTTATCACCCCGATACATAGTATTTCATTTCCACTACCTAGAAATATTTTATTGTTTCGAAAGTCGACAGATCGAGATGGTATAGATTTTCTTTTAGATATTGACACGGAAAACATGTTTAGTATAAAAGTTTAGTACAACTTGATTAGTATAACTTCAGTATATCTTGATGCCACAGTTGCCATGAATTTATTTTCATATAAAAATTAAAATATCTTCTATACATTATTCTTCCTAGGAGACCACTTGCTTGGGTTTAGCCATAGCGACGCGGTTGAGAGAGAAGTGCAGAGATCTCCTGAAGTGATGCTTTTCCCTCCACATTTGGAGGATCAAGTCTGGTTTAGAGTTATCTCGCCAGATTGTAAATATTGTATATAGGTAGGTATATGTTCTTTTATGTTTTTTATTTTTAGGTTATTTTATTCTTATTTATTGTATATATATTTTTTTATTTATTGAGATATATAATATTCTGTCTCGTGGACAATAATTATAGTGATAAATGAACACATTCTCACCATATATACAGAAAATATAAAATTAACAAAAGTAAAATAATAACTAAATAATAATAAAGAAAACTGTTTATTGTATATATATTATTTTTCTGTATAATTAATTTTATTTATTGTAAATAGAGTATGAATGTGATCTCTGAACACTATTATAAATGTCCTTGAGGCAGATTGTAATATTTTTCTATAAATAAAAAAAAATCCCTATAGACCAAAACGACTCTGTACAAAAATACTTTATTTCCGATATTCACCTAGTACAGCCAGTTTTTTTTTTTTTTTTCTCGGTATATCATATCTTCAATAATTCTTCATAAAATCCAATGATTCAGCAATCATTTTTAACATTATCTTCTCCTTCAGGAGGGAAAAATAATCATATCCCTCAAAAAATAAAAAAATTAGAGTAAGAAGTTAAAAACTAAAAGAAACTTTATTTGCACATAACTCAAAATTTTTGCAATTTATCGTGGACCAAACTCATTATTTATAAGTTTACAAAATTCCCCCCTCCCCAAAAAAAAAAAAATTACCTTCGAAATGGAGACATTACAACAACGATACAGCATACATACAATTTGTACATATGGCTTGGTTTATAACATGAATAAAATATTCATAATTTGACAGCAAAAAATAAATAACAATAATAATTTCTCTACATCATAATACATTGAATTGACCTCCTTTCTCTTCAGATCGAAATCCGCACCTGTCATTAATTTGACAATAAGCAGACGAGGAAGAAAGTACCCAGCAGCACTTCTTCCCAGTCAATATTTTCTTTCTTGATTCAGGATAAGTCTCTCATCCAGCTCCTTTTCATTCACTTCCTGATGTCCATGTCGTTAATAAGTCTATTGTTATGTCGATGTAATATAATATGAAATCACTAGTAATGAATACGTATGTAATGGTCGATAGTTAGTTGTACATCTGTATATAATGTGTTATATACGTACCAGGGAGCCTCTGTTATTAGTCTGAAAATGATTTTAGTTTTTATAAATATCCTTTAACAACATCTCACTTATTCCTGTTAAACAAATCTGTTACCTAGGACTCCATCTGGACAAAAGACTCACTTGGAATACTCATACCAGACTGAAACGACAAGAAACAACTCGACGTTTCCGACTACTTCAACACTTACTAGACAAACGCTCTAAACTTTCAATTAATTTCAAAAGACTCATATACTTGACTATAATTAGACCTATTTGGACTTATGGAGTTGAGCTATGAGGGCTCCACTAAACCATCAAATTCCTCTCGGATCCAATTATTACAATCCAAAATCCTTCGTAAAATCCTTAATGCTCCTTACTTTGTTACAAATAAAATCATGCATAATGACCTTAATGTTCCTTATGTATCATATTTGGCCCAATCCAGATATCTGTCCTTCCATAATAAACTTCATAACCATCCCAACCCTCTTGTTTCTAACCTTGCTTATTATCCATTTCCCGATAACCCTCCGAGGAGAAAAGAAGATGGCCACGTGATCTCCTAATATAGTCATATTATCAGAATGCTACCAATGGGTAGTTTCTCAACATGTGTTTGATGTCATTATATCCATGTGCGAATTTACCAGATGTATTTTTTGTATACCAAGAAGTCAACGAGAGGAAAACTAAGTATATGAGAGTTGGTGGTGAGGTGGATCTGAACTCTCCATTTGAGGTAGGTTCTTTTAAGTTTGAGAGAGTGAAAAGTTTTATATACCTTGGGTCTGAAATTAATAGCAAAAATGACATGGCTCAAGAAATACAAAGAAGGATCACGGCTGCCAATAGATGTGTCTTTGCACTTGGCCGACACTTAAGAAGTAGGTACCTCTCAAAGAAGACCAAGCTGATCATATACAAGACTCTTGTTCGGCCTGTTTTGACATATGGCTCAGAGGCTTGGACGATGACCAAAAACGATGAGATGAAGCTGAGTGTGTTTGAGCGAGGAGTCCTCAGAAAGATTTATGGTCCAGTAAAGGAGGGTGATGTCTGGAGGAAAAGAAAAAATAGGGAGCTCAGTTCTCTCTATACAGACATCGACGTAGTCACGTATATTAAACTGGCCAGACTAAGGTGGGCAGGGCATGTGGCCAGAATGAGCACCGTTGAGATACCAAAGAAAATAATGATGGAGGAGCTGCACCTCGCAAGACGGGTAGGAAGGCCGAGGACGAGATGGTTGGACAACGTGGCCTATGATGCGAGAACCCTGCTTGGTGTACGGAACTGGAGAGCTGCAGCAGAAGACAGAGCCAACTGGCGGAGGGTCTTGGAGGAGGCCCAGTCTCGGTAACGGGATGTCGTGCCACACATGAATGAATGAATGAATTTTTTGTATACAGTTGTAAATATCATATAAATAAAAATATATAAAAAAAAAACAAGTTTTTATAAGTGCGTTGTTTTTGCTGAAATAAAAATCTGTTAGGCGTAAATCCATATGGGTTTGAGTTTTTGTCTGATTTTCATTTTTCAGAAACGGCATGAATTTTATCTTTTATTTTTTTTTCAAGCATGTACGCCTTAATATGTTATGGATTATATTTCCCTTATTAACATATTAAGTAGCGATAAAGGATGTTCCTTATTGCTAGATAAATATTATCGCCAGGGTCCAGTAATCCTATCAGAACGGAGGGGACCTGCTTGGCCAAGCTAATGCTGCCCTGATAGCGGCTATTAAAATTCAGCTAAATCGCTCGAGCTTGAGAAGAGCATGAAGATAGGCAAAGTAGGTTAGAGAAAGGCTTGAGCCGAGATTGGAGGAGGATTAGGTTGGAAGAAGATGGAGTGTGATCTATTATATAGGAGAGCTCTCATTGGCCGCCGTGTTCACGATATTATATCAACGAGCCCTCATTGGCCAGTGTGTTCACGTCCTCTCTTCTTATTGGTTCCTCTTCTTATTGCGGCCACTCCATTGGTTTATTGTGTTGTCTCGGGCCGAGCCACTTCTGTCATTACTTGTGTTCGTGATCGTTACGAGAAAAGTAGTCAGGTCTAAAGCTCACAACAAAGACATTGATGTTCGTTTGAAAATTATATTTTGGTTTGTTATTTTAATAATTATCCTTCATAATCGACGACCAAGTTTAAGCTTTTTAAAAATTCAAGTTTATCGAATCCAAACAAATTACTGAATAAATACTTTCTAAGTGAAGGATCTGTAGCTTTTTCTCTTAAAGTAAAGTGAACATGTGGCAATACTTAAAACCAAAAACATGCGTAGAAATTTTTGGTTTTTAGAATTTAAAAAAAACTCATGGTATAAGTAATATTAAAATACTTAAGTGGTACTTACTTAAATATTTTATTC